TCTAATTATTCTTAATATAATGTTTTACTATATCGCCCAAAAAATTGTTTTTCGCCCCCCAAAATATAAATTGTTACTAATCGCCCCCTCAACATGGCATAACGCCCCCATATGGGCGATATCGCCCCCGTTGAGAAATACTGTACTGAACGAAGAAAATAACCATATACCAAAACTAAATATAAAATCGACTCAACTAATTAAGGAATTTTATGGAAAATTTGCCACGTGTCTTTGCAATTAAACACAATACTAGTGTTTACTACGCCACAATTATAAAACTAGACACAATTTCAAAAAAACAAATGAATAAAATCAACCCTAAAACCCTACTCAGTATATGACACGACCCCCATTATCTCCCACCTATTTTACATTTTACCGCCATAATTTACATTTAAATTTTTGCTGGATGATAAAATTTTCTTTAAAAAATAAAGACGTAGTCGTTTCCAAAAAATTCTTGGGTGATCATCATATTTTTTTTTAAATGTTCCTTAGTAAAAACTCAATAATAAGTAATCATTTAAAAAAAATTAATACCTTGTAATTGGTTGTTTCTTTTGAATTAAAAAATCTTACATTCAGCCAATCAAAATTATCCCGTCATACCGTGCGCGGCAGGGAACGACGGGTGGAGGAAACATGGCGGAAAAGTAAGTTAAAGAAAGAAAATTTAAGTAGAATAATATCTCGTATTATACAATCTTAAAAAGCATCGTATAGAGTGAAAAACAGCTATGTTTATACCTCTCAATTTACTGTACGCTTTGGTAAATATTTAAAATACTTTTAATACTTAATTCTAAAATTTACACTATAATCTTTAAAGCTTAGCTATGTATTTAATTTATTAAGACTGTAATATCCACTCACCGTTAATTCTATTCATTTCGTTTAGTAATACTGTAAGAAATTTATTCGAAACATGAAGGCGGGATATGACGTGACGAAGTTAATCACCGATGTTTTCCATACTCTCGTATCAGCTTTTTCAAGGATATGTGATTGCACAACATTTCGAAATTAAAACAGGAGATTTTATACGTAAATTTACTTTCATTTTTCTGGACAACGAATGCTTATAATTTAGTTATTACTTTATAAATCTTCTTCGTTGTGTGCTGCATTTTTTCTTTACATTACGATTAAAAAAATGACAACAGGAAAGGTATTGTGCGGGTTTACGACTCGTCTATTCACGTGATTATCCTGTCCCCTTGCAACTTCCGCTTGTTTACGATAAACTTTTCACTCGAAATCTAAAGGTAATCAGTTCATACTTACTGATATTTGTTAAATATATTAATGTACTTTTTATACTTTATTCTAATCTGATTAATATATGAATATTAATTATTATGATGGCGAAAGAATTTATTAATAGTCTGTGAATTTGATTAACAATAAAATTAGTTCAAAGTTTTCTTCAAAGTGATAAGCAATAAACACGCAAACTATGTACTGTATATTAATTATTTTAGTATAATTCCTGGTGTTATATAAGCCCTCGGCAGCCCAGCTTATACACATGTATTTACGTATGTAACTCTTATTACACTTAAGTAGTATCTAAAGCTATACTAAAGCACTATTGCTTACATCTGGGGGTGAATTAAACATTATGTGATCATTAACTTTACGTGCTAGGTAACGTAACGGGGTAACATTATTTGACGTAACCTAACAAGTGCCCCTCTGAATGTAGATTTTACAAATTAATTACTATTCCCTTCACGTTTTTAGTACGTAGACGATTATTAGTTAAAAGAAATAAAATCATGATATACACTCACCCTTAAATTTATCCATTTCGCTAAGTGAAAGAGTAGAAATGTAAACGTAACACCACAGAATATCACGTGGTGAAGTTCGTCATCGACCGGTTTGCGCATACTGAAGTTCAGTTTTTTTTCCTCAATGTTAATCTATAAATCTTGAAACACGTGATTACACGACATTACGAAATTGACAGAAGTTTATTCTATACAAATTTACTTTCAATTTGAACGTAAATATAGATTTACTCTTACAAATTCGGACGGAAGGAGCCATATCATAGTATTTACTTCACAAATGTCCTTGGTTTTATTTTGTGTAATTTTTTTTACGTGTGTCGATTAAGAAAATGCTGGCATAAAGGTCATTGATACTCTACTCACGTGATTATCCTGCCCGGTTAATAATACTTTACTCCGCTTTATGACAACGTTTTTACTCGATACTTAAAGGTAATGATTTTATATCTAATAATTGTTAAATATGTGAATATGATTTTTAAGAATGTATTCTAATCACATTATCGAGTGAATATTAGTCTGATACGTCTAGTTATTATGGCGACAGAATCTATTAAATGTAAGTTAATTTGATAGATCTTCTTGTTCTCTTGATATGTATGTGGACTTTTAATGTGAATTTAATAGAATATTGTTATTGTAATAATTTTTATACACTTATTTGGAACAAATAATGGATTTTATAAGTCACTGAGGCCTTGACTATAACTAGGTTACTATTGTTTTAGTATACATGCTAAAACAACAGTAACATAGTTCAAAGTGTGCATCTAAGTGACAAGCAGCTAAGTAAGATAACCAGTGGCATCGTGCATTTTATATGAAACAAACTATGATATTAATTTTTACATATTTAGTCATGTCTAGTTGGATCTTGTTTATTAATAGGATTTATTATACTGGTGTAGTTTCTGATTAGCAAGAACAATAAGGATATAGGCGAAAAAAAAATATAATATTAATTCCTGCAACCACCAGATTCCATACAAACCCTCGACGGTTCTGTTTTTATACTTGTATGTACTGTACAGTACAATATATTAGAAGCCACTCTTTATCTCAAGCTCTAGCGCCTACATTGGGAGGAATTTAAGTGTACAGGTTGTAATTATGGCCTCTGTAATATTAGTTTTAGTTACGCTACAGCCTCTAGCAAAAATAATTCAAAACCAACATTTATTTCAATTCATTACTTATATTTTATACAACGTCTTAGCGAATTTTATCAGTATAATAAAATAATTTCTTACTGATTTATTTCATATTAAGTTGTAGTGTATGTCTGAATATACGTCACTTCAGATACTTTGTATATAAAATTATTAAAATGCAATTTAAATATCTATAAAATATAGAAACGGGTTATAAGTTTAATAATAAGCAAATGTGTATGTAGCCTTATTGACGACAGATTGGTGTGTAGTCTGATATGTGTCAAGGTCAATATTGAGTTTCAGTGTTGGTGCACTGTGTTTATGAATAATTTCCATGCTCTATTGATATACAGTATATAAAAAGAATTGGATTCTGATTAAATTGTAAAATCTGCACATACAATTCTAGCCATTGATTTTTCACATTAAATCTACATGCAAATGTGCATTCTCATTTTTTATCTCTGTTGTCTACCTACTCCTTCTCTCACTTTATCTGGATTCATTTTGTTAACATTTTTATTTGATAATAACTGATATAGACTTGAAAAGAAAAGAAAACTAACTGAGCAACCGCCCTTTTTCTTCGAAATATCGCAGCCGCTTTCCTAAAGGCACGGTAAGGAAATTTTTTGAGGATTAACCGTGATTTTTTTTTCTATCTATCCATTTTTAAATAAAAATAATTCTTTATACGTTGGGAGATATTTTAATAAGTTTTGTAAATTACTATGTTCGATCCAGCCAGTTATATCCGAGTTTTTTTTCGTCTGTTAAGCACATCCTTTGAGGATTTCTTTACCGTGTATACCAGCCTTAATATAGTATAAAGGCTGCTATACACCATGGGTTATTCCTTCGAGACTGCCTGTCCTTGCGGAACTTCAGAATTTTTTATTGCCCACAAACGAAGAAAAGCTCTCAATAGAGGTGTAGCTAGAGCGGGGGAAGAAGGGCACGTCCCCCGGTAGCCACTCGCAGAGGGGTACCAAATGGTCTCCAAGACAAACAAGTTTTGTTTCTGGAGGGGAGGGGGCGAGGGAGGGGGTCGCAAATATAGTGTCGTACCTCGGGAACCAGTTATGTTCGCTACGTCATTGTCAGTCAGTCAGTCAGTCGGCCATTTAAAATACAAAGAACTAAATAAAATGCTTAATTTTTCGTCTTATTTTATTGTTAAAAATTTAAGCTTACCTTAACAATTTGAAGTACCACAACTTTGGTACGTATATCTCATCAGTTCCTGCTCCCGATTTGATTGATGCTTTAACTTTTTTCATTTCTTTTCTGTATGCGCTTCTGATATTGTTTATTTTTTTATAACGCTTTCTTTATCGGCCTTTGGTTCCATTTCTTTTAGTTTTTCGATTAAACGGAGATAAGCAGCTTCTTTCTTGCGTCTGTTGTAGTATTCTTTATTTTTAATATGCCAAAGGCATGGTTCGCTCTCGTAAATTTTTAAAAATTCCTCCAAATTTTCACGTGACATTGTTCTAACTACTGAACGATATACGACGGCACACACGTTTTGGTGGGTCTACTCAGTCTGACACACCGCAGGAAAATCAAATGGTTTTTCGATTCTACTGAGGTGGTCGGCGAAGCTGTTAAATTGTACCCCATAAACTANACTGTAAGATGTTCCAAAATTTGTGAACTGTTCACGTGAAGTCTACGTACAAACAATTCCAAAGGTCTTGTTACTTTCCCAGCTGTTGACCACTGCATAAGAGAATGAAAGTATGGCGATCGGTAAATAAATGACCCCCCCGAAGATATTTACATGTTTGGACTCAGGGGACGTTGAAACGTCGAGATATACAAAAAAAAAATCGGGGATTTCTTCTGTATGTATGGATGTTTCTGTGGGGCCATCAAAAGTTTAAATTTTTTTCTTGGAAAGTTACGCAAATTGATGTTGATTTTTCGAAATACATTTTTAAATATATTTTTTTGTGAAATATTTTTTGCTAAATTACAGTGTAAATTAAGAGTACATTAAAATAAATATTATTACATTTTAATTAGCTTATAATAATTAAGATTTAATTATTGAAATATTATAGGCGCAATCAGAATTAAAAGCTTCAGAAAATATAGAATTAATAGAAACACCACAAGGTTGTAAGTATTTTTAGATTTAAATATTAATGTTCTATATTAAATTAAAAATAGCATTATTAAAATTTTTGTATTACACGTAGCGATTGTTGTAACACTACACTCAGGAAACGTCCACGTGGGAGATCTGTTAGATGTTCTCAAAGCAAATAAATCGCCTTGGAGTTCAACTGTTAGAACTAACACAGGTAATTTAAATGAATACAAATTAGCATATAAAGCATAAATTAGTGTAAAATTAAAATTTAATTTAACTTTGTCAAATGAATTAATAACGTAAGTTTTGAAAAATAGCTTACTTTTTATAACAGTAAATGTAAGATTAAAATCGTAATGTATAGATAAAACAAAAGTCTATAAGAGACACATGTTTTAAATTACAATTGCTTTTGTCATGAAACGATGGATATACAGTAGAGCATCGATTATCCGACTTAATTGGGGACTGGAGTTGATCGGATAACTGAAAAAACGGATAACCGAAAAATATGAAAAAATACATTATTACTATAGTATTTTAGTATATCCCATGTAATTAGTATATTAGTATATCCCATGTAATTAGTATATTAGTATATCCCATGTAATTAGTATATTAGTATATCGCTATTAACCTACTTCGCGTTGAATTTTCATCGATGTTAAGCCTAACAAAAATTTTTTAAAATAATAATCGTCGCTATTGTATCGTTAAAAATTAGAAAATTAAGCCTCGTTTCAATACTGGCTCCCTTTACGGTCGATCCAGTGTTGCCAGCTAAAACACGTAAAAATAATATTAAAGTAGCCAAGATAGCCAAATATCGTAGCGCCACATCACTAGCGGATATTTGAATTTGCCAACTAGAACGGTCAGTTAACCGATGTGACGGTTGATCATGGGTCGGATAATCGATGCTGTACTGTACGCATTAAGACATGGTCTATTTATCCACATACTTATTGTTAGATCAAAGGTATAAAAATCCATCTGAGAATTTTGTAACTTTCCCGGCCAAATTTTAAAATTGTGTGTGGAACCATGTTACGAGATTTTATTACAAAGCACATTTTATATTAAAATTATTATAAAACGGCAAACAGCTTAGCTTTGAGGAAGAGATTAGTTTTCTAAAAGTTGCAAATTCTCGAGATATGACACGTAACCGCTTCTATCTTCACACCCCATTGACTTTTAAACACCAAAATTTAATACCATCAATTCCTCTAATATGCAAACCTCCCTGAAAAATTTTAAAAATTTTCGACAATAAGTACGGGAGGGAGTTATTATGTTTCAAAGAGGGTACATAAACTTGTGCACTCCATACACAAACATCCATCCATACATACAGAAAAAATTCCTAAATGTTTTTCATTTCTTATTACGTTGAGGTTAGCTTAGGTGTAGAAACAGGGTTTATTTGTAATATACATATCTATTCGGAATAAGTATGTATTTGGGAAATTGTCATTGCCATGTATTTATGTATATCATGACTTTCTCAACGCTAGAAACTAAGAATTACTACGAAATAACTTCTGATTAAGTTGTGAGATTACTTTATAATTTAACATAATATTCAAATTATATTAATGAGTAGAAAATTTCTATTATCATTTGCCGAATTTTTTGAATGTAAAAAATATGCACACTTGAACATGAAAAAATGAAAATTTTGCATTTATTTTATTTCAGAGCAATCAAGGCTTTTTGGAGACATGCTAAAGAACATACACAAGACAAATAGCGCCTGTATCAAGTCTTTACTTTGCAATGAGGAAGACCAAGATTTCTCAATAGAAAAACATTTCGTGGATGTGAAACTCAAAAAATACGATGATTTTGAAGAAGGAACAGAAAAATTTATTCAAATCAAAGATATTTTCGCTAAAAAGTGTGGGAAACATCGAACGATTCTGATCACCGGAGATCCAGGCTATGGTAAAACGACAATATGTACAAAAATTGCCTATGATTGGGCAATAAATCAAAAAGGATCAGATTTTAATTTCGTACATATAATTGAATTACGTAAATTGGGAATGGAAGATGTAACTAGTGCTGTCCTCGAATACATTTATAAGTTTCAAAGCTTCGTGAAACTAACAAAAACTGAATGGAATATTCTGTTAATCTTAGATGGGCTCGACGAAATTCGTGACAAAGAACGTGTAAAACAATTTATCATTCACGATTCTTTTAATATTTCTGAGAAAATGACAATTATTGTTACCAGCCGTCCATCCGTTACACATACAATTAAGATATATTTCGATGATCATTATTCCATCGAAGGATTTTCCCCAGAGCAAAAAGTATACTTCGTAAACTCTATGATTAATGAAGACAAAGATAAAAGAGATTATTTGATTAATCTCATAAAAACTGATGCTTCGGAATTAGCAAAATGCCCACTATTATTGCAAATGTTATGCTGCCTTCCTAAGAGTAGTTTTGATAGAAAGATAAAAACAAAGACCGATCTATTTATCTGTATTTTTCACTATATTATTGAAAGGTATAAAAATAAGAAAGGTGATACTCTGAAACTTAAAAAAGGAAAATTTTTTGATGGAGAAGATTTAATCATTAAATTAGGCAGTTTATGTTATAGTAAAGAATTTCAACAACACAATCTGGCTTCTATTTTAGAAACACAGAGAATATCAGAGGAAGAATTGAAGAATACTTTTAACAATGAGGAAGAGTTCGAGTTTATCCTTGGTCTTAATATATTTGTAAAATATTCGGAGCAATATTTCGAATTTATTCATAGAATGTTTCTAGGATTCGTCGTGGCTTTTTATGTTTTTCATTCCATAGATGACGTTGTCATACCAGCTGTAGATGACATTTTAGTTTTCCTTGTCGGTGTGTTTCAAGACGATCGTTTTCCAGAAAACTTGATAAATTTGGTCAGAAGGAACTTCTTCCATCCTGTAACGTGGTGGAATGTTTACAATGAGATTAGAAACGAAAAAAATAAAGTAATATTTCGTGAAGAAACGAGAATAGTGTTCTATTACGATTGTTCTTACGAAGTATTGAAGTTACATGAAGTTTATATGTTCGTCCCAATTTACATCTGCATTCCCTTTTTGTCTGATTTTCATAAGTTGTCTGAATATAGTCCAGTCCAATCACGTACGCTCGAAAAATTTTATTCTTCAGGATATATTTTTTACAATGTGAAAAAAGAACTGATTAAATTATTTAAAAGTCTGAGATTGATCTACTATCCTAAAGTAAGGTTACATGTGCTAATTGAAAAGGTGTTTCGCGACGACACTCCTCGCTTTGGCTATAGATTTAGAAATTTAAACAAGTCCATTGAAGCTTTAAGACATGTATTCCAGTTTATTAATTGGAATAGCTTCAGACTTAATTTATATGGAATTGTTCGTCGTATTAATTCACAATTTTCTATTTTATGCGAAGAAAATATTGAAAAATTTAGTGAAGTTGAGGAATGTGTTGCGGCAAAGGAGAATGAAGCTTTTTATCGGCAAACTTCACAACTAGAAAAAGAAATCTTAGAATTGGAGATTGCGTTTGGTATAGCAATGAAATTTTCAACATTTGAAAGCTCAGAGAATGAAGCAGAGAAGAGTGAAGATTTTTCTCGGCAAATTTCTCGACTCGGAAGAGAAATGTTACAAATGGAGATTGCGTTTGATAATGAAATAAAATTTTCAACGTCTGAATGGTCATTTCAGAGCTTTGAACCATGTAAGGCCATTCATTTATCTTCTGGCAAGGTTAGTTGATATACGGATTCACAACCTTTTATGTTTTTTTAAGTATTACATTCTTAACATATTAAATAATGCTTTACAGGGTAGATTTCAACTCGGAAAAAAGTATAAATTTCTCGAAAGTTCGACAGTTAAAGGTAAGTATTAANGATATATTTCGATGATCATTATTCCATCGAAGGATTTTCCCCAGAGCAAAAAGTATACTTCGTAAACTCTATGATTAATGAAGACAAAGATAAAAGAGATTATTTGATTAATCTCATAAAAACTGATGCTTCGGAATTAGCAAAATGCCCACTATTATTGCAAATGTTATGCTGCCTTTCTAAGAGTAGTTTTGATAGAGAGATAAAAACAAAGACCGATCTATTTATCTGTATTTTTCACTATATTATTGAAAGGTATAAAAATAAGAAAGGTGATACTCTGAAACTTAAAAAAGGAAAATTTTTTGATGGAGAAGATTTAATCATTAAATTAGGCAGTTTATGTTATAGTAAAGAATTTCAACAACACAATCTGGCTTCTATTTTAGAAACACAGAGAATATCAGAGGAAGAATTGAAGAATACTTTTAACAATGAGGAAGAGTTCGAGTTTATCCTTGGTCTTAATATATTTGTAAAATATTCGGAGCAATATTTCGAATTTATTCATAGAATGTTTCTAGGATTCGTCGTGGCTTTTTATGTTTTTCATTCCATAGATGACGTTGTCATACCAGCTGTAGATGACATTTTAGTTTTCCTTGTCGGTGTGTTTCAAGACGATCGTTTTCCAGAAAACTTGATAAATTTGGTCAGAAGGAACTTCTTCCATCCTGTAACGTGGTGGAATGTTTACAATGAGATTAGAAACGAAAAAAATAAAGTAATATTTCGTGAAGAAACGAGAATAGTGTTCTATTACGATTGTTCTTACGAAGTATTGAAGTTACATGAAGTTTATATGTTCGTCCCAATTTACATCTGCATTCCCTTTTTGTCTGATTTTCATAAGTTGTCTGAATATAGTCCAGTCCAATCACGTACGCTCGAAAAATTTTATTCTTCAGGATATATTTTTTACAATGTGAAAAAAGAACTGATTAAATTATTTAAAAGTCTGAGATTGATCTACTATCCTAAAGTAAGGTTACATGTGCTAATTGAAAAGGTGTTTCGCGACGACACTCCTCGCTTTGGCTATAGATTTAGAAATTTAAACAAGTCAATTGAAGCTTTAAGACATGTATTCCAGTTTATTAATTGGAATAGCTTCAGACTTAATTTATATGGCATTGTTCGTCGTATTAATTCACAATTTTCTATTTTATGCGAAGAAAATATTGAAAGATTTAGTGAAGTTGAGGAATATGTTGCGGCAAAGAGGAATGAAGCTTTTTATCGGCAAACTTTACGACTAGAAAAAGAAATGTTAGAAATGGAGATTGCATTTGATAAAGCAATGAAATTTTCAACATTTGAAAGCTCAGAGAATGAAGCAGAGAAGAGTGAAGATTTTTCTCGGCAAATTTCTCGACTCGGAAGAGAAATGTTACAAATGGAGATTGCGTTTGATAATGAAATAAAATTTTCAACGTCTGAATGGTCATTTCAGAGCTTTGAACCATGTAAGGCAATTCATTTATCTTCTGGCAAGGTGAGTTGATATACGGATTCACAACCTTTTATGTTTATTTAAGTATTACATTCTTTACATATTAAGTAATGCTTTACAGGGTAGATTTCAACTCGAAAAAAAGTATAAATTTCTCGAAAGTTCGACAGTTAAAGGTAAGTATTAATTAATGTTATATGCGAAAAATTACCCAAACAGAGGACAACTTCGCTATGCGCTATTCCAAAATATCTAGCAACGAGTTGCGTAACTTTCCTGGCAAAATAATTTAAAATTGTGGTAGAGCCAACTGTTATAATATTTTATTTTAAAATTTATTTTTATTATTAATTATTATAGAATGATAACAAGCTTGATTTTTTTGGAAAAACGTTTCATTAAAAAAATAAAAGATAAAAAAAAATACTAAATAACGGGTAAATTCTATATTAGATCCATTGTCATTCGAAATATGAGACGTCACCTGTATCTCCCCATCTCTTCGATTTTTTACTGCCAAAATTTAACAGCATTGGTGTTCCTAACACGCAAATCACCCTGCAGAAATTCAGAAACTTATATAAAACATAAAAGAGTAATCGAGCTTTATATTTGGTGAAAAAATTAGTACCCCCCACATACACACACACTACCATCCATACATACAGAAAAACCTCCGAACTGTTTTGCATGTCTGGACGTTTCGAAGGTCCTGGAGTCCAAAAATGTAAAAATCATGCGGTGGGGGTCATTTTTGACCGATCGCCATACTTTACCTTTGTTATACAGTATATAACAGTCAGTGAGGTAAACCTTAGAATAGACCGTAAATCAAATTACTGTGTGTCTGTAATCATCAGGCACGCAATGTTATTGTTACTATTCAATCTTTATGAACAGGAAATTTCGAAGCTTAATAAACGATTTTTTTTAATTTCATAAAATTTTGTACTCGAAACGCTCTCATATTTATACCATGTAAAATTTACAATAATTTACCAGGCGCTTTATAGATCCAGTTAAATCGGAATACCAGAAATATTTCTATTTAGAAACACTACACCATGACCAAGTGTATGTATATATCTTATATAACATCTTTTTAACGGATTTCTTATTATCGAACCGAATTTCACATTTCGTTGCATAATAATATTCTCATGTATTAATAATAGAGAGGTTGCTGTCGACATTTTCAACGCGAAAACGTGTACGTCGGACGTTCAGCGCCGCCTTCCTGTAAGCCAAGAAGTTTCACAATGACGTTTGGAACGTCAGTGGAATCATGCTCGACGTCCTAAACGACATTGTCAAACTTCTAGGCTTACAGAATTGCGGTGCTGAACGTCCGACGTACACGTTTTCGCGTTGGAAACGTCGGTCGCAACTTCTCTAATATATATTACAACATTCCTTTTCACCACAGACATCAGTGGCTGAGTGGATAGATCAGCTGAACGCTGGTAGTTGGTCTTTGGTTCGGGCTTGGCCCGTGGAATTTTTAGTGTTTGCTTCACATTAGTAACACCTAAATAAAGGCACTAAATGATCTCCTGGCAGGCGTAGTCCATCATTTCGTTATTTTACCAGTTAAATTTCGGCAATTTTTTTTAAAGTAAAAGACGTGCATACTTGAGCATGAAAAATGATAAATTTTGAGTTTATTTCATTTCAGTGAAATTTGGAGACGAGATGATGAATAAATATAAGACAAGTTTCGCATATGTCAAGTCTTTACTCTGCAATAAGGAAGACCGAGATTTCTCAATAGAAAAATATTTCGTGGATGTTAAACTCAAAAAATACGATGACTTTGAACAAGGAAGAGAAAAATTTATTCAAATTAAAGATATTTTTGCTGAAAACCCTATAGAGCATCGAACAGTTCTGATCACTGGAGATCCAGGATATGGTAAAACGACCATATGTACAAAAATTGCCTGTGATTGGGCAATGAATGAAAGAACGGGTTACTTGAATTATTTCAATATTGTAGCTGTAATTGAATTAGGTAAATTGGAAATGGAAGATGTAACTAGTGCTGTCCTCGAATACATTTATAAGTTTCGAAGCTTCACGACACTAAGAAAACCAGAATGGAACGTTCTGATAATCTTAGATGGGCTCGACGAAATTCGTGACAAAGAACGTGTAATACAATTTATCATTTACGATTCTTTTAATATTTCTGAGAAAATGACAATTATTGTTACCAGCCGTTCACCCTTTACACATACAATTAGGATACATTTTGATGATCATTATTGCATCGAAGGATTCTCCCCAGAGCAAAAAGTAAACTTCGTACATTTTATGATTAATGAAGACAAAGATAAAAGAGATTATTTGATTAATCTCATAAAAACTGATGCTTCGGAATTAGCAAAATGCCCACTATTATTGCAAATGTTATGCTGCCTTCCTAAGAGTAGTTTTGATAGAAAGATAAAGACAAAGACCGATCTGTTTATCTGTATTTTTCACTATATTATTGAAAGGTATAAAAATAAGAAAGGTGATACTCTGAAACTTAAAAAAGGAAAATTTTTTGATGGAGAAGATTTAATCATTAAATTAGGCAGTTTATGTTATAGTAAAGAATTTCAGCAACATAATATGGCTTCTATGTTAGAAACACAGAGAATATCGGAGGAAGATTTGAAGAATACTTTTAACAATAAGGAAGAGTACCAGTTTATCCTTGGTCTGAATATATTTGTAAAATATTCAGGGCAATACTTCGAATTTATTCATAGAATGTTTCTAGAATTCGTCGTGGCTTTTTATGTTTTTCATTCCATAGATGACGTTGCTATTCCAGCGGTAGATGACATTTTAGTTTTCATTGTCGGTTTGTTTCAAGACGACTGTTTTTCAGAAAACTTCATTAAATTTGTCAAAAGGAACTTCTTCCATCCTGTAACGTGGTGGAATGTTTACAATGAGATTAGAAACGAAGAAAATAAACTAATATTTCCTGAAGAAACGAGTATAGTTTTTTATTACGATTGTCTAGATAAAGTACACAAATTGTATACTATTTATAAAATTCGAAGTATTTACTTTTGCATTTTGGATTCTTACTACGAAGTTAGTTTGAGAAAATTGAAGAAATTTCATAGCAATCTGAATTATTCGTATCCTCTTAAAATACGTGTGTTAGTTCATAGATTGGCAAATTATCCTGTCTCTGACTACTCTGTTGCGAACACAGATATAGTAGAATCTGTACAACATCTTGGATATTTATTTAGGTACTATAACTGGAGTAAATTTAAAATTTATTTTTATGGCATTGTTTACAATCGTAATTTACAATGTTCCTTTATATGCGAGAAAAATATAACTTCATTTAGAAAATTCGATCCAGAAGTGGAAGAAGAGTTTTCTCTTAAAAATGAGAGACCTGTTTATTTACGTATCCATAGCGAAGCTACTGGAGTAAGTAAAGATTTGAGAATTGAAGATCCGTTTGACTGTTTAAAACCATACCTCATGACAGAACATCTTCAAGAAGATATCTTTGGTGGCATGGTTAGTTCGTTTAATCATTCGAATATATTAATTTTTTGATTTTTTTATACGATATTTAAAATATTTTATTTTAGGTTTTAAAATTTATAAACCAATGTAACTGGAGATCGGAAAACTTCAGTAGTTCGAGTTTGGAAGGTGAGTACTAAACTTAGCTATTATGTACAAATGTGTAATACAGAAAATGATTTATAAATAATATATTATAAATTAATGAATATACGAGGTATTGTTTTCACCATCCATCTGCCTTCATTACAAGGTTTAAGTGTCTCACTTTTTGCACTTTTTTTCATAGCTCCTCTCTTTTTTAACTTTTTCTGAGGCAAACTTGCTTATTTTAGCTTTTTTCACTTTCCATGTGTTATTTATTTATTTATAAATATTTTTGCAAATGCGTTCAGGAGCAAAATAGCGACCTGCACATCCCCATACTGCAAACCTCCAACATTCAAGCTGCAAGAAACGTATAAATAAATGCCATGAAGCCTTGGTCCCAAGCAGTTAAGACTGATGACTGCCCCTCAGATGTCTCAACGTCAAAGTATAAGTGCTGAAAGTGTTGCTATTATGAGCAATGTTGTAGACTCAGGTGCCAGTTCAGAACACCAATCATTGCAACAACCAGTGCTTCAACTTTGTAGTGCAAAAGATGGTGCTTACATTGCAGAGCTTATATTGCTATGAAAATGACAGCCAGCAATTATTCATCTGCATTATATCATGATTTAAAGGAGACAATCAATGCCAAGTGTGCAGACAATCTTCCAAAAAAATTCTCATTGTCACATCAAAAAATGAGATACTTAATCACTGAATCTTTGGCCCCATATTTCTTTGATCAAATGGTAGATGATGCACAATGGTCATATTATAGCATTTCTTATGATGAGACATGCAATTGCTCATCATAAGACAGAAAATAACTGCAAATACTGATTAGATACTGGCTAGAAGAACAACAGGAAGTTGTCTGCAGGCATTTCCAGACCTCATTTACTGTCTCGGGCATGCAGATGCCGAAACAATTAAATCAAAAATAATTCTGGCAATTGACAATTCATATCTACCTTTCCATAAATTACTGATGATTGGATGAAATGGACCAAACATAAACTAAGAAGTATTGTCTCTCATAAATGAGGAAATTCTGACAACTCGCAAAAAAGGCCTCATCAAGATAGGGACTTGCAGCATTCATACAATCCACAATGTTTTTTTGAAAGGCCTGGAAGAGTTGGGCGGAGATAGTGATCTCATCATAGCAACACAGCTTTTTTGATGGGTGGCCCTCTAAAGTGGGATGAATACACAGAAATTCAGGAGAAACTTAATTTGCTTTGCAACAAATTTATGAAGTATTTATTCATCAACTAAATGACTGATGTTTGGTCCTGCAGTAAAGTGACTGATCGAACAATGGGAAGGACTCATATTATACTTCCTAAAGCACATTCCTCAAGAATACCAGCTTAATGAAGTGTTTCATATAAGATAATCTCAGTCATTAAATTGTTCTAACATCAACGCTGAACTCTATTTAGGAATATCTAGTGCTGAACTATTCACAAAATTTACTGGACATTTTCAGTGCAATGATCCTTTAATACATAAACTTTATAGTGAATTGCTTACTCTGGTGTGAAGAAAATTCAGTGTGATAAACAGGAGAAAACAAGAGAAGTGCAGAAACTGCAGCATGACTTAAACAAAAGAAAATCGTCTTTAATTACAAATTTTTTAACAAGAAATCAAAAAATGTATTTTGAAATAAATCGCATTTTCAATTTGACATGTTATATGGAGACACATTCTGGTAGTTATGTTACTCTTCCATTTCCTTTGCTGTATAACGGTAGGAACTCCGTACGGGGCACATGAAAACTAAATGCAGGCCCGTTCTGGCTTAATGCAGTCTTACTGGTCACTTTTAACTTAGCCTAATTATTTTCATATTTAATTTTTTCAGTCCAATTAAAAGCTATTGATACAAAATGTGTGTGTTTTTAATCATGCCTGTTATAGTTCACTTTATCACTATTAGCGTTTTCAGCTTTTTTCAATGTAGACACTCTTTTTTCACTTTTTTTTCACTGCCATGACTGCTTTAAACCCTGTCATTATGAACTTGGCAAGTCCATAATGGGCATGACAAACGCTATTTTAGTAATCACAAGGTGAAAAAATATATTAGCGTATTACTAATATATATAGTACTAGCAGACCCCGCCACGCCTTGTTGTGGCTCAAAATGTATCTATTATAAATGTATAACACTTCCCCCGTGGGGGAAAATTTTTCAAAAAATTTTTTCTTAGTGTACATTCTCTTGACGTACCCTATTAAAACGCAATCAAAAGCGCAAAAACCCGCATCTAAAATAGTATAATAGAAGCCAAGTTTTTCACAGTAAGCCTTAATC